TAGCGGAGGAGGGTGAGCTGATCGCCTCCGACAACGGCTGTGGCACGAGTGTTTTGTATAAAATCAAGCGGACGGAAGGAGAATGCCCTCAAGGTGATATACAGAGCGAAAATTCAACCCCTGGGATTCTTTCTGAAATACTCCATGAGAACAGCAACGATCTTGGCGAGCTGCAGTGCGACAGCGTGGCTGACTTCAGCGACAGTGTCAGACTGTCAGGGACTACAGCGGCAATCCAACTGGACGGGACGGAGCTGGATGCTCCGTGGAAGTGCGACAAGGCTAGATGGTCGAAGCACCCTGAAGTTGGAGCCGGCAACCCGACTGAACGGGATAGAGCATTGGACGCTCTGTGGAAGTCCGACGACAATGTCTGTGACGCGGAAGTCGCGCGCAATGTGTCAGTGCCGTCGTCTGCAATGCAAGCTGAAAAGATGTGCCAAGAATGTGTACCATTCATCTTCGTTCCTTCGCCCGACAAGGTGCAGATCAAGCAGCCACCGTCTAGGAAAAGTTATACCGACCTTGAGACTGCCACGGGATCCGACACCTCCAGAAGGTTTAAGAAATTCACAGCCCTGTGCGTGGTCGGCACTAAGGAGCCCAGGTTTGAAGGGTTAGGAAAGAGAGAGCCTCTAGAGCAAGAGAATGGGAAACCTAAAGAAGAAAAGGGAGGCCACGATATGGACAGCGTGGATCAGGTGGACGAATCCACTGTAAAGATCGGCGATCTACAGCCCCGTCGTGGAAGGAAGCGGCGAAAGCGCAACACAAACGATCACAACCCTTTGTACATTGCGGCTACAGAGTGTTCACAAGGAGAATTCAAAATATCAGATGGAAGCATCGTAGGCAGTGAAATATGGCCGCCATCTTGTGGAGAACCACCGCCCTGTGCTAGACAGCGAGACCAATCAATGGCGTTGGCACTGGTTGAGAGTGGAAAGAAAGCCCGAGTTGAGATGTGGTTCTGCAAACAAGGGTTGGTGTTAACCCTGCCGCTACGCTTCCGGGAGGCGGACAACCCTCATGTGGCCAGAGACGTCAGGGAGATCAAAGGGCCGCCGATCAGCGCCTCTGGTGAAATCAGCCTTTTCGGGACGAAAAGGATTGAGAAGGGGGCAGTGAAACGATGCAGCAGAGAAGTAGCAGGGAAGAAATGGGGAAGCCAAGAGAGAAGGTATGCCGGGGCTCCCCCAGGGAAGTGTGGATTGACAAAATTCCAGAGGGGGGGGGGGTGGCAGACAGACAGCGCGAAGTCCAGCTGGCGTCGCCGTGGGGAAGGGATCAGCCGAGCCCAGCTGGTGCCGTCGTGGAAGGAAGCTGGCCGGCCTGCCGGGGATTGGTGTGTGCCGAGAAGACTGTCTGGCAGAGATAGCAGTCTGGAGGGAAGAAGTTTGTCTGATGACAACGGGACCTGCAGCAAGGAGAACGGCGGTGGTGACAACAGACGCAGCAGGTGGGCACCGAAGACGGTAGCGGAGAAGGATCCCTCTAGTGGCGGACATTGAAGGCAAGTTAATCTTCTACTGTATAGTTACTTATATCCCTTTCAAAGATCTGGTAATAAATCCATAGTACTAAGCTGTATCCAAAACGAACTCACATTGTTCTCTTAGAAACCTTGAACGCAAACATTGACGGCTGAGAAGCGTCGTAACAGTATAATAATAAACGCCGTTAGATTATTATTTGTTTTATATACTCCTGTTAAAGGCAGCGATGCCTGAAAGCTTGAGATTACATTAATAAAAATAAACTCACCTCCAGAAACCCTTGTTGTATTATTTTAATATATATTTAGGATATTTAGTGTGAGAGAGAAATAAAACTATATTAATTGGGCACAAGTATCCACTCGGGTAGAATCCAGGCGAAGCCGGGTCATTCTGCTCGATATTACAACAATACCACAAAATTAAGAAAAAGGCTTCTTCTTATCGGGCAACTGAAAGTTGCTGATGGCTTGCGCCATCTATCGGAATAAATATAAACTATTCTCGTTGATTTTTAATTATTCCAGAATTGGCAACTTTCAGTTGCCCGATAAGAAGAAGCCTTTTTCTTAATTTATGCACCTTATCCCAGTACAATATTACATTTGTACTATTTTTTCACAATACCACAAAAGTTGAAAAAAGTAATAATAATAATTAACATTTATTAAAACAAAATTGTCGAGGAAATATAAACTCGGGACCGAACATGTTTATCGTACATTATGACTAAAATAAAATACCAAATACATTTTTATAAATATTTTTAACACTAATTATAAATTTTAAGAATATTTTTGAAATAAATCATACACAGAAAATCTCTTTCTCGCCTGATAAATTACCATAATTACACAGAGTCCATTGGATCATATAAAGAAGCATATAGAAATGCTAAAAAAAAGTGATCACCTAGCCCTATATATTGTAACGTAGAAAATCAGGAAAGACAAACTTCAGGATGACACAGAAAAACCAAAATCAACATTTATAAGATACCAGATAAGCAATAAGGGAAGTTTATACTGTAGCAAAATATAAATAATATTAAAAAAAAAATTGATTAGCTCTATATTGTAACGTAGTAAATCAGGAAAGACAAACTTCAGGATGACACAGCAATTTATTTAATGTAAGCACAAAATCAACTTTTATAAGATACAAGATAAGCAATGAGGGAAGGTTCCAGAGAAAAGAAAATATAAATAATATAAATAAATTAAATTTTATTGCCATCTATCGTTAATATTTTACACAAATAAATTTACTGGCAATGCGTAAATTTATTTGTGTAAAATATTAAAAATAATATAAATATCAAAAAATTAATAATATCTATATAAAATATAATAAAAACTTTGCTACAATATTAAAAATAAAAGAAGTTTAAATATATTTTGAAGAATTCCTTCCCTACATGCTGTATATACAAATAAGATATTTTAAAGAATATGGAGAAATGATTTGATAATGTTTTAAAGTTATCGTCGCCAGATGTTAAGGTGTTTGTATCTTTCTTTGTTCCATCTATGTAAGAAGACGCGAAGGACTCCTGGAAATCTATTAAGGAAAGGACTGCGAAGTCCGGAGTTTGACGAGTCAGTCCCGTGGGGGTCGGGCTATCTCCCCCGTGGGAGTCCCCACGGCACACTTCAGGGACCGGTACAGGAAATGAAACACTGAGATGACCAAATATGGCAATCTCCTAACTTGGACCAATTGTATTCCACTTGGAAGATATATGTGATGATTTGAGATAAGTGAGAGTTCTACAAATATAATATTTGATATATATTGTGTGTGCTAAAATATTTGTTTAAAAACTTACAATACAAAATTAATAAAGTATTATATCTATTAAATATAGAGCAATCCATTATTAAAATAAAAGCATATTTTGGATCAATAAATTTATTAAAATTCAATATTTCGACGAGGCTGTTCGCCTATCTTCTTCTCGGAAAAATTCAAAAACCTTCTAGGGATAATAAGCTTAGAAGGTTTTTGAATTTTTCCGAGAAGAAGATAGGCGAACAGCCTCGTCGAAATATTGAATTTTAATAAATTTATTGATCCAAAATATGCTTTTAAGTATTATATATATTAAGTAATTAATTAAATTAAATAAAAAAGCTTTCGGGCAAATTTGATCTTCTACAGGCTTAGAATAAATATGAAAGATGAAAATCTAACTGTTTATTTTTATTAAATTATAGAAATAAAATATCAGTGTGTTATTTTAATTTGTAAATGGCTCTTCGTTTTCTCCTGGAATATTTATTATAAATATGTAGAAAGCAAAATATATTTGCTTAAAATACTGTTTATTAGCTTTAATAAAGAAAGAAAAAAATGATTGTTTATTTCATATTGAAGGTTTATAATATAAATATATTATTCTCCCCGACTTGTGTTTTTTCTTCTTCTATATTGTAACAAAGTATTTATTATTATTAACAGAGTATTATTTTTTATGTCTATATTTTGCTACTCTGTAATCTTCCCTCTTTGCTTATCTTTTGTTTATCATTCATAGTTTGTTCTTGTCTTAAATAAATTGCTGTGTCATCCTGAAGTTTGTCTTCCTTAATTTTCCACGTGGCAATATAAACAAACATGTTGTATCGTTTCTCTCTCCGCTGGTACCATGAATACGACAGCAATAAATCCTTTATTGCCAGTAAGCCACGATAACAAGAGAATAATACAACTCGCTACTGAACTGAAAAATATATATTAAAAACAAAATATGCCTATTCTGACTACTCACATGCGTTTTTCTATTTTAAAAATATTATATTTTCACATATGTGCATTTTATTATAATATTTCATAATAATATAATATACATATATATTTAGATAATAAAAAGCATATATTAGATTGAATAAAATATTTTTCAAAATCTTTCTTTTTCTTAGATTTAAAAAAATATAATATATGCCTTTTTATTATCTAAAGATTTAAGTATGAATTGCTCTATATTCAGAACAATATACATATATATTTAGATAATAATAATACATATATTGAATTGAATAAAATATTTATTTGCCAATATTTCGGTTGACTGAACACCAACCTTTGTCAAGGCATTACATTTTTGTATAAACTGTATAATATACTATGTATATATGTCGTAAAATAATATATATCCTTCCAGGAATTAACAAAGAGATTGGGGCGACTTATCAGACACTGGACTCGCTGCCTACTGGCTCGGTGTTCTATAGATAGCTGTTTACTGCTTTTTTTTATTCTCCCTGTAGTCTTCCCATCCTTTTATTTTTAATTAATTGGGTCGTTTCTTTCACTTTCCTTCCACTCTACGCGTATTGTCACACATATGTAATAGTAGTCGAATGGCCCGGGAAACGCCCGGGTTTTACCCGATTAAATGCTTTTATTCAAATACTATTTGCTACAATTATAAATTGGCGCCGTGGATGTCATTCTTGTATAATATATAAATGAGTTTTAAAAATTGTAAAAAAAAAAAAAAAATGCATCGGCCGGGAATCGAACCCGGGCTGCCCGTGTGGCAGGCGAGCATTCTACCACTGAACCACCAATGGTTATAAGAAATGGCCATATTTGGGTATTTATTCCATTCACAAAAGCAAACGGTGACAGAATTGATTAAGAATTGATTGATGACTCTGATACTTGTATATGTAATATGTATATGACTATATATAGATAACTAAAACTTCAATAAGGCTTAGACTTGAATCCTCTCGTAGAACGGGCTATATTTTAGCATAGTAAAGTAGAACAAACTCCCTGTAAAGGACAACACCTAATTGCAGAGCCAAAGTGTCCTTTAGGGAGAGGTGTCCTCTTACCGGAGAGTTGCTAAATTGTAAAAATGGTAATTTTGCAAATGAAAATTGTCCTTTGTGGAGAGGTGTCCGCGCTACCGGGGTGTCCGCTAAAGGGAGGTTCTACTGTATATACAAATAATTATATAAATTAGAACAGAAAAACTCAATAGTATAAACAGAAAGAAAGATCTCCCTGACCAGTACAAAAACATGTCTTAAATCATGATTATTCTCCATAATAATCGTTCAAATATATGATTTATTATTTTCTATATCTCACTGCATCTCTCATTATTTTGGCTCATATGTAAATAGTCTATTTTTGCATATAGCCTTTAAGTGTTAAAATCTTGTCTTATTTAGATATATGCAAATGTAATTTACCTCGTATATATAAAGAATCTCGTTATTCCTCTACAGGTGGAACTCCAATGGACGCTAAGTTCCTGTAGAGGAATAACGAGGTTTGAAAACTTGTGTTTTATCGATATGATAAAAATAAACTTTTCTCAGGTAAAACTTTTTTTTTTATATGCAAATACGTCTACTCAATACTTTCAAACTATTGGAAATTGCTCGCTGAGTATACATACTGTGATTTCTATTGACCAACCAACGGCTAAGTGTTTGTCTCGTGAACAATTTTATCAACAAAATTTCTTAAAAAATAAAATTGAAGAGAACGTCAAGGCACTTCACCCATTAATTAACTTTCGCAGTCGATGAAGTGAGAAAAAAATCTAATTAAAAGTGGTTAATTAATCAATATATCAGAGAAGATTCTTTTTCTAGATTCTATTATCAAGTTCAGATAAAGTGCGCCGAGATTTTAGTCAATTTTGAAAGATTCTATTCTCTAGCATTAATCATTCCATATACAATCAATGAGTGTTGAGTAAAACTTCCATTAGGAAATTAACAATACACTTTCATAGAAGCATATAAACAAGCTTTCGAATAGAATCCTTCTAATAACTTATCATTATGCAAGATATGAACTATTTTACGATGAAAACATCAGGCTTCCAGAGATGAAGAAGATTGTATATTGGCCTGTGGTCGAAATGTCGAAATAATAAAAAACTAAAATAAACGTCTATTTATTTAAAACTACTGTTAATATTATAGGAATACTGTTTCCTTGTTGAATAAATTGCACATATCCTTTAAACGCACCATAAATATAGATCTATAATATCAGTTGAATATATTTTATTAAAAAAAAATAACAGAAGACACACAGAGAGAATGAAAGTTGCAAAGTGATCAATCAAAATGGCGCTCTCATCCTTAACTGTCAGATATTTCTTACGGAAATCTTGGTAAATTCTGTGAACGAGAGTTTTATTTCAAATAAATTATTGCGATGTAATTTATGATTATAACATCATAACTATATTACTATCAATGATTATATGACAAGAGTTTCATACAGAAATTATATTGAAAAAATTCTTTTATATAAAAAAGTACACTCTTTAGTCGGAAAGTATATTTTATTTTAACGAAAATGTATTTTCTTGTTTCTATAAAAAATAGACACTTCGGCAAGTTAGAGTTTTTATTTTCTCAATGTTTCGACAAAAATCTTTTGTCTTCGTCAGGAGAAGTAAGTAAAAATAAAGCATTTGGCAAGGCGTTAAAAATTGTTCTGAGGTTGCAAGTATTTTCTTGTATTCAGGATACAATTGAATATTAGTAAATTAAATTTTATTGCCATAGAAAATGCAGGGTATATAACAAAACCAGTCCAATACAATAGTAGAGCGGTCTAGAGATTAATTTGGCGAAACCGCTGAGAGGGTTCACTACTGATGAGCCAAGCCCTCTCATTCAATAACTCATATTATTGCAGTAAGGTCTGTAGAGCTAATATTTGATGATATTAAAAAAAAAAAAAAAGAAACACATTGCCAGTGAATTTATTTGTGTAAAATTTTAACAATTGAATATATATGAAAAGATTTCAGAATTAGATATATTCAATAAAACTTAAAATACCAGGTGTTCTATCTGAAGTCAGACTGAAAAATCCAGTATCTTGTACTGAAAAATACCTTTATGTGTAACGAAAGCTGTGATTTTCCTACTTTCTTTATCCAAACTGACAGATGCTGACGGCGATATACTACCTACACTCATGGACAACATTTAAAGAAGTGGAAAGTTTTGATGTCGCCGGTCGTCTTTATATATTTTTCGAAGGAGACAGAGGCAATTTTGTTCACATCGGGTTATATCGTGTGTCTTCAATAAAGGTCACTGTAACATCTTTCATAGTAATTGTGTGAATACCGATTTACACATTAAAAGGTACAACTTCCTTAAGTTTTGTCCATGAGTGATTGATCTTGAAAATCAATTTTCGCAGAAATCTCTGCACTAGCTTGAGGCTCGTAGCTGGGCCTTTCAGGTACACATGCAGCTTTTAAAGAGCTTTAAACCAATATACTTTTCGACATACTTGACATCACTTTTACATCGTTAGAAGCGGAAACGGTGGAGCTCGAAAAAGCGTAGCCGCTCGCCTCGGTGTGTGTGTGTTTTGTCCATGAGTGTATATAAAGAGAGAGCAATTTTTATCTTAATATATTAACTGAACATCTCTAAATTTACATGTATTTGCTTCAGACTGACGGAAGGCTGAAGAACTGAGACTATAATAAATAATACAGATGTTATATAATTATTTCTCATGAAATGATTCTTTTAACTCTTTAGAAATCTAGGGACAACAAGGAAATCTAATTTGTTGAAAAATTCGAGTAAAAATGTTCACACAAACTTATCTATTCACAGTAAGATTCAATAAAGTTTATTCAATCGATAATATATGAAAAAAGTTAACAGAATTTCGTAATTGAAACCTTACTAATTAGAAATGTCGGGTGTAAGACTACACACACACATAGAGGCATCTCCTACCTTCACTCTGTTTTAAACTTATCTTTATTGACAGATACATAGTTAATTAGCTCCACTGTGTTGATCAGTCAATATATCTCTATACCTTAGATTTTGACAAAGTTATTTTTCTATTCATTAAATTTTAAAGAGGATTTAAATAATAAATATAATTTTATAGTGGTGTCGCCTGCTTTTATTTTTGCGATTAAAATTTTATGAAATCTTCTTATTTATGCATAAATAAACAAAATAATAAATTAATTAAATTAAATAAATTATTAAGAAATTTTTTACATGTACACTCATGGACAAAACATAAGGAAGGTGTAGATTTCAGCATGTATATCGGGATTCAGACAATAACTCTGAAATATATTAGATTGGCCTTTATTGAAGACACACTAGATAACCAAGTGTGAACAAAAAATTGCCCCTGTTTCCTTAAAAAAAAAAAACAGGCGACCGGCGACACCAAACACTTTCCACTTTTAAAGTTTTGTCTATGAGTGTACACATAAAATATTGAAATTTGTAATAATTATATTTGTCGATGTGTTTCCTTAAACATATATTATCAAATATTATACAGATCTTACTGCAATTATAATAATTATTGAATGAGAGGGTTTGGCTCATCAGTGGTGAACTTTTTTGGCGAAACCGCTGAGAGGATTCACCACTGATGAACCAAATCCTCATTCAATAACCTTTACCATTGCAGTAAGGTCTGTATAGAGATAATATTTGATGATATATGTCAAAAATATTACCAAAAATTAGAATTATAAATTTTAACGCTGAATGTCACGCACAATTGGATTTATAAATATACTAGCCAAATGGCCCTGGAAATTTAACTATAAGAATTTCCAATTCTACTCTATACTGTCACAGCCGACGTAGACTCACGTAAATATTATCATTAGTTTTTTAAAACTTATTAAACAAATTAATATTGTTTTGAAAAATATTGTTTTTATTGTTTATATTATTAATTATTATTATTATTATATTATTAATATGGTTAATATTGTTTTTTTTTTTCACATTGTGTCGCGGTCTCACGCAATTCTGGCCTCAACTACCCGTTTCATGATTTCTCAGGATGCCTGAATGACCAGTTTTTTGATCGTTGAAGTACAGCTTGCACCACGCTGATGAGGGCCAACAGCCCGAAACGCGTCCGTGGTTAGTTTTTCTTGATTAATCAAGAATATGTATTTGGCCAATTCTGGAATCATTAAAAAAATCAACGAAATAGTTTATTTTTATTCTGATAGATGGCGCAAGCCATCAGCAACTTTCAGTTGCACGATAAGGAGATGCCTTTTTCATAATATTGTTTTATTTATTCTTTTTTGTTGTTAACTTAGTGCAGCCACGCGTGCTCGCGTCGTCTCTTCTCTTTCTTTGTAACCTTACCAAAATAAAGCGTCAGCTTTTTAATGAGAACTCGTTCTGGTTTATTCTACAGCACAATGGTAACGGCTGAGCAAAAACCATCTACAAGGTGTAACAATATACTGTCAAAATTTCAGCCAGATTAGTTACGTATTGTTAACGTGTATAGCCGACAAACATACATATTGAGTAAAATATATCAGGGGCCTCCAGGGAAAAGTTCTTTTCAAAAACATTTTTATTCTCTAGTTTTCAGGCACGGACGTCCTTCTACAGGAGAAAACATGGTATAATGATTCGCCAATAGAACACGAGTTAAATATAATCGGATACTATTTTACATAATTTTATAAAATTCTATAGATATAAAAATATTTTATATTAACTGTTATAAATATAAAAAAGGCATATCCTGACCAGGAGCATATGTGCTTTTCAGAATG